CTCAGATGGCTCTCAGCTAGCTTTGCCTTTTCAATAAAATCTTAATTTTTGTAGTATTTACCAGGCTGTATGACAGCATAAATCTATCTGAAATTAATTTAAGCTTGGGCTGTACTGTATTCTAACAATGGATCTGACAAGAGATGACATCAATCACATCAATTTATTACAGTCAACTTTTAACTTTCTATTCCATTATGTGTTATCCCATTTTTATTATCTTAAAATTTGAATCATGAATAAGTGTATGATCCACTTTCTTGGCATGATTACAAACAATCTTCACATCTTCGCAATTAGCAGAAAGCAATCTATTGTGTATTGTTCGACATTGAATAGATTAGATACATGGTTGTGTGGCTACCCCCTCACCACTCCACTAATCTATTCCTGGTATTGTTGATTTATTTTTTTTCAGAGTATCTGTGATTTGACAGAGTCTATCTACATTCCTCGCGGTGTCAACACCTCCGCATTGAGTCGGGACATTAAGTGGGATTTTACGCCACGCTCACAAATCAAGGTAACTGACATCCATACTCCTCAATTTTTTTCTTGCGAATAAGGTCTTTGGCTATGTTGCTTGTCATGTTATATCATAAATGGCATACTGAAATGAAGAGTTATGAATATAATAGTAATTCATTCAAATGAACATTGAATACAATGGCATTTTGGGTGCTCGACCCAAGCTAAGCGTTCACGCACACTTTGTTAGCCTTTGCTAAGGATCTGGTCTGATCAGATTTAGCATGGACTAAACTTCATGGGGAATTAGGAATTGTTTTTAGATGCCCCAACCCATCATGCGATGATGCCTATCAAATAATTCTTTCACAATGTCAGAAACATTTTAGAAATATTGCCATTTAAATTAGGTGTTTTTGCAGTACTTATTTTGTGGGGATTTTGAGTCAAAATGGAATCCCAAGAATGAAGTTGCATCAACTTGAGATAAATAAGATTCTATGTGGCTGTTGGTGTCTTCGAAATTCACAAACTAAAGTGACCCCTGATTTACTTTGTTTTCTACTCTAAAATGTGAACTTTACTTTGCCAAATAGCAAGTTCAGAACTTGGTGTATTTCAAGATCACTAGACTGTTGCATTAACGACATGCCAAAGAATTAGCACAATCAGATGTGACATGCAAAATCTCTGTGCGAATGGAAGTCGCACAAGTTCTAATATTTCAACTATATTTTTTCTCCTCACAAGATTGGGAGTCACATCACTGGAGGTGATGAGTATGGAACAGTGCCTGAGAATTCCTTGATAAAACATAAACTGATATTGCCACCTAGAGCTAGAGGTACAGTGACTTGGGTTGCAGAAGCCGGTAACTATGACGTAACGGTGAGTACTGTCTGAAAATATTACATCAATATAATTATAACCTTCATAAAACAGGCAATTTTGGCTCATCAGTTTATGAGATGAATGGCGTAAGATTATTGTAACTGAATAATGGTATCACATTGATGCCATGTGCAACGTAAATGTACAGTTTTGCAGGTGATATATTAAAGTCAGTGGCACTGCTTAAATCAGACCTTACATCCAAAGGATAGTGATCATTCCACTCGTCTATTCACTCATTTTGTTCAAGATCAAGAGTATCTAATTATCACTCTTCCTTTCTATTTTGAAATAATTTTATATAAGTTGGTCCCCAAATTACTCTTTTCTGTATTTAGACTGTTCTCAAATTGCAAAGCCTGCTCAATGGAGCAATGTTGAGACCTAACAAAAGAAATTTATATTTGTGATCTGTGTGTGCACCACAATAAGAAAAGTGTAGAAACAGTTTTTTTGTTCTAAATCTATCATATAGACACATAAACTAAACTTATGTACATTGACTTTTTTCTCATATTGAAATAAAGGTACCAATACATACATGAATTGCCACCTTGTTCTCTTGTTTATATACATCATAGCTTTCTTGTTCAATTAATGATTCATATGCCTGTTTTTTTATTTGCAGGATGTTGTCTTGGAGACAGAATTTGATGGTCAAAAGTCCAAGTACACCATGTTACAAGTATGGCCTGTCCGACAGATGCGACCTGTCAGTGAAAAGCTAGCAGCTAATTTTCCATTATTGACTGGACAGAGAGTATTGGATTCACTTTTTCCGTAAGTTTGTCTTCCTTTAGATAAAAATAATGAGTATAAATGAGTGCAGGTGCAGATAAGTTTTTTTTTGGCGGACAGTAAAATTGTTTTTATTTATAGACGTATAATTGTAGTAACTCATTTTAAAACTACATACTTTAACTTTTACATTACCAGGTTTCTTCGCCCAAATTTGTCGGCACTTTTTAGCTCCGCTGTCGAGCGAAGCTTATAGTTTTTCTGATTGTCCGTCTGCGTCCGTCGTCGTCAACTTTACATTTTCAACTTCTTCTTAAAAACCACAAACTGTATAGCTCTGAAACTTTCTAGGAAGGTATTTTGGGTGCTTCTCTCTCAGATTTGCTCATTTCGTGTGGGTATGTTCAATTGTCTTATTTATAGCAAATATTTTTGTCATTTTTGGTCAAAAATTCTATTTTCAACTTCTTCTTGAAAACCGCTAGCCCAAATGCTTTGATAATTGGTTTGTAGGTATCTAAGGTGGACCTCTCTCTCAGATTTGTTCATTTTGTGATGATATCTTTAATTCTCTAATTTTGATGAATATTTTTTGTCATTTTTGGTAAAAAGTGCTATTTTCGACTTCTTGTTAAAAACCACAAGTCTGGTTGCTTAGATATTACATATTTAGATACTACATGTGGACCTCTCTCAGATTTGTTCATTTCGTGATGATATCTTCAATTCTCTAATTTTCATGAATATTTTTGTCATTTTTGGTAAAAAGTGATATTTTCGACTTCTTGTTAAAAACTGCAAGTCTAATTGCTTTGATATTACATGTATACATTTTTGTATATACTACATAGGCATACAGGTAGACCTCACTCAGATTTGTTCATTTCAAGATGATTTTGTTCTTCAGTTATCTAATTTTAATGAATATTTTTGATAAAAAGTTATAAAAAGTCTGATTGCTTTAACACTATACACATTGTTCATTTTCGAATGATATTTTCTGTTTTAATTGCAATGTGCATTGATAACAGCGGAGCTATCTCAGCCGACAGGCTGCTAGTTGTCTAATACTCTTCAATCTTTCTGGAAATGAACTCTATAAATTGGCTAATTTTGTTCTAATCTTCTGAAGGAAAGTGCAGACTATAAATGGGACTATTTTGTGAATTTGTGATGAAAAAGGGGAACTGGTAGTGAGAAGGTTAACCGACTATTGGTCATAAGGTTAACAACTGTGTCATGAAAACAATTTTTGCTTGTAATGATAAAAAAACACATGCCATTGTATTAAAATCATTTTTGGAGTGTGGCAACAGATTAGCTTACTACTATTATTCTTGTATGGTTCATCGTGTCCAAGTTAACATTATGTTTCCGATTTTTTTTCATTCTTAGCTGTGTACAGGGAGGTACTACAGCTATTCCAGGTGCTTTCGGTTGCGGTAAAACTGTCATTTCACAGTCACTATCAAAATATTCAAACAGTGACGTCATTGTGTATGTCGGATGTGGTGAGCGTGGTAATGAGATGTCAGAAGTACTTCGGGATTTCCCTGAGGTAAGATTATTTTCACTACTCAGGATCAAATTTATATTCTGACATTGCGACATTCAACATTGTATAGACTACCTGCTACCCCCTGACTACTGTCAAATCTGTATTAGAAGCCGCAGTTATATTAAAATGGGACAATACAAGGGAGGAGATACAGATTCTATTAGAGCATCTACACATTTGAGAAATGTTGATTTTTCGGTTCTCAATTGTTCAAAACAAAAATGAGTGTGACTTCTATTAGGGATGTGGCTTTTAATACAGATTTTACGGTTAGATCCAAACTTGTTTCATATCTATAGTGAATTAAAAAATCAGGCAAAATATTGTTTATACATAGTTTTCAGGTTTTATAAGTCATGTTCTGATATTCCATTATAGACAATGTCTGTTCGCACATGTATCTCAGACATGCCTGGGCTGATTGAATTCAACCTTCACATATACTGTACATCACACTTTATATCATACATACATGTATGCATATGCATGTGTTTCATGATCAGAATCAAGATATTGATACAAATCCAGCCTTTCTGTCATATTTCATTCAAACTTGGTATATTCATTGAGTAATTTTTTCCCCAGTATAAATTCAAAATGGCCGACTAGTGGCCATTTTGTTTAATGGATGCTGTTGTAGGGCTATATATCACTGACATGTCTTGAATGGTCACATTCAATGCTAATACACAAAAAAATGCCCAAATCGAATAGATCCAGTTGTGTATAATCTCTGTCGTACGTGTGTCAATCAAAATATATGATAAAGGCATGAATATCTTATATCTGCTGCTGACATGTAATCTGTCATCATACTAACCACACCAACTTCAATAAGTAATTGCTTTCTTCTGGAGTTGCATGAAATTGTTCACTTTCACATGGAATATCAGTAACAGGATCATGTACGTGTCAGGATCATGTTCTTGCTTCAAATTGTCAGAATTTTCCAGCTACCACAATCAATACTATGTCTGTTCTGATCCTCAGTTGACTGTTGAAATTGGCGGTGTGACAGAGTCTATTATGAAACGTACAGCCCTTGTAGCCAACACATCTAATATGCCTGTAGCTGCCAGAGAAGCGTCTATCTATACTGGTAAGATTTCTGTATCCACTGAGAGTGAATACTGATACACTATACAATACAAGGAAACTACATGCACTACACATAGTCATAAAAGCTGAGCACCAGTTTCCCATCAGAATTTTGTTGCAAATTTGTTACACATTTTTCAATAATTTATTTTTAGTGTTGGACCAAATGGTCATAATTTCGGGGAGGTGGGGGTGGATATGAGAACAATGATACAGTTTTTTTGGAGGGGGGTGTCAAAAAGTTGACTTCAAAGATTATGCATGTACTAAGGAGTTACCTTGTGTGATGACATCATCATTACCAATAATGCATTTCGGCAAACCTCTAATGGGCTCTCCATGTTGAAAGTTCTGAGAGATGATCTGCAACTATTTGTTGACATTGATATGTCTAGAAGCTGTGTAGTAATACTGATAATGCTCTACATTCACTTTGAGTAACCTGCAAGATTTTAAACCATTGATGTTTTGATTTCAAAAATTGTTTTACGTAACGTCAAAGCATCAAAGAGTTTATATTCTGCCACCAGTTTCTTGAACTCGTTGATTGAAATTATCTCATTTAATAGATGACGATATATTTCATTCCACACTGCTGTTGTCAATCCTCCATAAACAGAAAAGCTATAATAAATTATTTTCCATTTCATTCTTGCAGGTATCACGTTATCGGAGTATTTCCGTGATATGGGTTACCATGTAGCTATGATGGCTGACTCTACATCAAGATGGGCAGAGGCGTTGAGAGAAATCTCTGGTCGTCTGGCTGAAATGCCTGCCGGTAAGTATGAGCAATTCAGTAGTGGAAGTAAATACTATACATTTAGTTTTTGTTCCTAAGTAATCGTCAATTTGATAAAAATTATAGCATTCGTGAAACAAAATTTCTCAACAAATTTGACACTCTGATTTTTCAGTTTATTTACTATTTTATATAGTAAACTGATTATATATGTCTGTTTGCTTTGCAGACAGCGGCTATCCTGCCTACTTAGGTGCACGTCTCGCTTCTTTCTATGAGCGTGCCGGCCGTGTGAAGTGTCTTGGTAATCCAGAGCGTGAGGGTAGCGTCTCCATTGTAGGTGCAGTGTCACCACCTGGCGGTGATTTCTCTGATCCTGTCACTGCAGCAACACTCGGTATCGTGCAGGTAGGATTTTGAATACTTGAAGAAGTGCTTCAATGTGCTGATTTCATTTCTGTTTTGCATTACTCTAGTTGTAGTTGCAAAACTAAAAAACTTAAAATCCTGCATTGCAAATTAGTGTGATACTATTCCCTGACCAACATTGTGGATGGCCC